TATTTATACCAAATACAACTAAATAGAGGGCTCCACTTTATTATTTGTTATATAATTGACCAATTAAAAGAGTATGTCTAGTAATTCACTGTAACTATTCGGTGCACGAATCATTTTCATTTAAAAAAAAAAAAAAAAAAAAAATTAGGTGGACATGAAATTTTCCTATTTCTATTGAACCAAATTACCTTACTAACCTATTTCTTTTATTCACTCACACAAATTCCATAACCCCCTTTTTGCCCCCAAAATATACCATGATTACCATCCCACCATACACTCTCTCTCTCTCTCTCTCTCTCTCTCTCTCTCTCTCTACGAACCAAAGACCACAAACCATGGAGGTCTCGTGTAATACCCTAATTTTAAAAAATAGTCTCGGTATTTGTTTATTTGTTTTAATTGTAATTTTTATTATTTGTTTAATTATTTACCTATTTGATTATGTGTTTAATTGAATTAATTGTTTAAATGTCAATTGTGTGCTTATATGGTTTATGTGAATTAAATTGTTTTAACCGATGTGCTTGCTTTTGATCGATATTTGTAAAATGCGTGCGCGTGAGTATTTAGCTAATGACAATATATATATATATATATATATATATATATATATATATATTGAAAAAAAAAGAGAGAAATTATTTGACAGGGTTTTTTTTATTTTTTCCCGAAAAGAAATGTTAATTGTAACTTTTTGGGGAAAAAAAAATCATATAGAGCCCTATCCATCACCAAACTGAACTTTCTATAACTGATTTTGCTTGGGTTTGGTAAAGGTTGTGATCTAAGCTGAAGCTATGATTATTCATGAGGAACGATAAATAATAACTTAGAATATGTAGATGGTTTTGCTTTTTATATTGTGTTGACGAACTACAACAAAGCCCAAATTTAGGGTCCAAATTGGGCCAGACTTTCAAGCCTATAAAGAGACTTTTCTATAGGTTGTTCAAATCAACAAGTAAAAGAGAAAAAAATCACTACAAAACAATATGCTAAATCAATGGTAGTATGAGAAATATAAATACTTAAACCAATATAAGAACTAAAATACTATTTAACAATATTTTCATTGAATGTAGTTGTAGGTATTTGTATTTTGAAAAAAGAAAAAAAAAACTATGTACATGTTACGTAAGTGTAAAAAGAATAATTTTAAAAAGTAGGAAAGAAAAAAAAAAAAAAAGAAAAAGAAAAATGTGAACTTTGAAAGGGAAAAAAAAAAAAAAAAAAAAAAAAAAAATAGAGTTTGGTTCAAAAACAAAAATTTAAATTTTTTTACCTTTATTAAGGAAATCAAAAAATTTGAAAAAAAATAATAATAATAAAAACTAAGAGATAACTTTAGAAATTTAAAATTTTGGGGACATTATATAGAAATTAACTATATATTGCAGTTGGCGGAGCCAGGCCAGGGGAGGGCTCCACCTGGGTCGGAAGTCAAAAAAATAAATAATAAAAATTGAGTATTTTTATTTGAAAAGAGAGCGCAAATATAAGTTATATATAACTTTACCACAATTCTAGCTACTAATAATTTTCCTTATCAATCATTTTTTCCAAAAAAAAATTGAACTGAATATAATATCTAATAATTTAGAGAAAAAAAATAGAAAAACAAAACTCCGCCAGCAGAGATTTTCCTCCGGAATCAACGCATGGTTTTGTCTTGGACTTCAAGTTTCGTTTTAGAAAAAGTTTCCGTTTTCAACATGAACTCCCCTGCGACCCTTCACACACAACCCTAACCCTAACCTAACCTTACTGCAGAAGCTATTCTGATAAACTCCGCAAATTCTTCGTTGCACATCAATTGACAATGATTGCAAACCATCTACTATCAGTCTCAGGTAATCAGGTTCTGCAGGTGGAAAAATTCAAGGCCATGGAGATTTATCAGAAATGTTTTAAATTTAGGACCATCCCTCAAACTACTAAACTGGAACTTTCCTACTCAAAAGAAAAGGAGAAGAAAAAGAGAAGTAAACTCGTGGGTTGAATTGCTTAAATTGTACAACCCTAAGGGGATAGCGTAATGGCAAAGACCCTCACTATACATCCTGGAGGTCGAAAGTTCAAATCCGGACATTGAAATTGCCTCTTGTAGTGTTAACTTTCTGATCAGATTTCCTCTAAAATTATAGATTATGCAGTTGCCACAGTACAAAAGTGCAAGATCGATATTCCTCCTAGCTAGGTGCAAACAATTCCTTAATTAGGGGCTATGCTTGCAAACATAGTCCGAACTTTACTTAATCCGTGTGGGGGTGCCGGTCCCGTGGATTACTCAAGGCAAAGCCCTGGGAGCCCCGGACAACCCGTTATCCAAAAAAAAAAAAAAAACCAGTACCAAAGTGCAATCCTTGAATAACTAAGAACTTTCCAGATTAATAGCTTATGAAATGAACCAAATGAACCCCTTCTTTAATAGTATTCTTTCTTATATGTCCATTTTTTTCTACAACTATATATAAAAATGAAATTCCTTGATGATGATCAAGTCTTTACAGAAAATTATGGAGGGACAATATGCTATTGAATGTTGACTGTATGCTAGTACTATCTTTCAATAATATACACAAACAAGTTATTTATGTTATAATGTATAGAATCAGATATCAACTGAGAAATGTTTCTGTTTTTTGTTGGTCTGCTTCATTTGGATGGTTTTATTTTCTTTGCTATAATTTTGATTTCAAAAAAGTTAAAAGAACTTACAAAAATCTATGGTATCAGATATCAACTCAGGAAACTAGTGAACCAATAAAAGAGAAAGCAACAGATTTGAAGTAACTTTTGTGGAGGCTAAAAAGCCTCCCCTACTATTGTGTTCTTTGAAAGAACTTTTCTAGATTCATAGCACAAGAAGTGAACTCCTTATCTAAATTAGTAATAGACTTTCTTGTGTGCCCCACTTTTCTGAAAGTTGAAACAGACAACTATAGCATTTTATAAAAAACTCTCTTCTTTTTTTTTTTTTTTTGTTTTTTCACCTAAAGAAGAACTCTTTAATGATAATGCTCTTACAGAAAAATATGAAAGGACAATTGCAGGGACTTTTTTTTTTGATACATTTTGTCTTTAAAGCCTGTGCATTCATAAGAGCCAGGTACTAAAAAATTACCTTCACTATTTAAGTATCTACTTTAGGAAAATTTTGCCTTTGTTGGTGGGATAAAACTGAGTTTTAAAATTTAATTTTAGTCTTTAAATAGCTACTTTAATAGGTAGATAATGCAGTGTTAACAAAGGGTCTTGTAGCCCTGTGGTATCTCTTCTACCATTCGGATGGCGTTTTGGTTGGTGCCCATGGGACGAAGGCTGAAAGGACTACCAGTGTTATATATATATATACAAGATATCTATGGCGTTTTGGTTGGTGCGCATGGGACGATGCCTTGTTAGCGGGCATGGATTCAGTCCATTTCACTGTTGGTGCATTCCATCCTGTCCAAATTTGCATTGCCCAACTTCTGCCACGTCACTCCCTTCTAAACCATGGTTAACCCAAAAAAAAAAAAAAAAAAAAGGTTAATTACAATAACACCCCCTGAGGTTTACTATAATGACAGCTATATACAAGTTGGGCCATTTTTTAATGATGACACCCCCTTAAGTTTGATAAATTTAACAAAGACACCCCAGTGGTCCTTACACATGGTGAATTGACATTATTGTCCTTTGACACATTCAATTACCAATTTATCGGCCAATACCATTCTTTATTATTGACCAAAATACCTTACTAACCCTACTCATACTAATACACCAAAAACCAAACCAACAGCCACCATGACTAGTTCCACGCCTACCACCACCATTTCACTACCGTACCATAGCCCCTTATGTATAAAGCTCAATTTCATCGAAAGCTTTTTATTGTTTCAATTGGGTTCACTCTATACCATTCATCTCATCTCCTCCACTATTAACAAACCCACAATCCAAACAACCCCCCAAACCCAATTTCAGAATTTTTGCCACCTATGCCACCGGCGAGGGCAAAAAGATTGTTGTTGAGACACCCACAACCTTTGGCTGCAAAATTTTGATGGAAACATTCACAGTTGATAAGATCGGTCGGGATGAGAGAAGATTGGTTCACTTGGAACTTCTTCAAGTCTTTCTCTTAGGCTCCAGCGACGGTGACGACCAAAGTGATCATATTGAACTTCGGCGAAGGTGGCTAGCAGCAGTGATGTGATTCTGGTGTCGGCTGGGGTTATGTGTGTGTGTTGTAGGTATCACGAGGAGAGAAGAAGGTGAAGGCAACAGTGTCAAGGATCTATACTAGAGGTTGGAGGTGTCGATGGCGACGGAGAAGAGATTGTAGCCGTTCGATAGCTGGGTTGCGATTACGTTCTCGAGTTCTTGCACGCAATTATTGGTGGTGGAGGAGAAGTGATGGCGAAGGCTACGAAATTGAGAAATAGTGGAGATATAAGGAGGGAGATGATGGCAGTGATTGTGGTTAAGAGATGGCGGTGACGGCTGTGGTTGGGGAGATGGTGGTAGAGAATGTGGTTGGGGAGAGGCGGTGACGACGGATCAAGAGGCGGTGACAGCGGATTAAGAGGTGGCGATTGCGGATTAAGATAGTGGCGGCGGATGCGGATGGGGCAGTGACAAAGGTGGAGGAAGGAGGCGGTAAGATTGTTAAAACGGAAAGAGATGGTGGATGTTGCAGTGGAGAAAGAGATGGTGGGTGGCAACGGTGCTCAACCGCAGGTGGGTGGCAATGGTGGTTATATATATATATGTGTGTGTGTGATGGTGCTAATGTAATAGTATATATATATAAGGGCAAATTTGACTTTTCATGAGTTTTAATATTTTACCATAAAATAAATTAAAATTTAAAGGGCAAAGTAGTCTTTTCAAAAGTTTTAAAGACTTGTTTGGATTAAAATTTTCACAGGTGTCTTTGTTCAAAAAACACCTAAATTATATATGATTGTCAATATGTCAAATCTCCCATTGTAATTAACCCCAAAAAAAATCCCAAAAGCTGCATTACATTTTGCCAAATTTTGAAGCCATCATCGAAAAATTTCAGAAAGCCCTAATTCTAATTCAATTCTTTGCCAACTGTTCATTTCCCCCTAAAATTGACCCACTGTTTCAAATTGAAAATTTTAGGGCTTGATCCATCTCTTCACAGTCCTTGCTGTGTCACTCTCCTTCCTATTCACCTCTCCTTCAAATCGGTTTTTCTATATTTCCTTAGCCCTTATTTTTCTTATTACAACTCAAGAGTCTAGTATCTCTCTTATTAGACTCCAAAAAGCGTTATGTTCTTCCAATTAGAAGAGTCATGCCCCTCTACCCTTTGCTCGTTTCACAATCCCAACCTCTGACATCATCGGCATCGGTAAGCTCTTCAATGGCTAATAATACCACCATACATTCAGTTTCTTTGTGAACTCCGAGAGACTGATTTTCTTTCATTTTCTCTGCGGTTTTTTTTTTATTTATTATTATTTTTTTTGGGAAATTCAATCCAAGGAGGTTGACTATGGCGACTCAATCTGCTGCTCCTCCAAGCCAGAAGGACGAAAATACCCAAAACCCAGGTCAATTTTCTATTCCTTTCTCTTGTCATGGGTTCCAATTTTATCTTCCAGGGTAGCTCTCGTCATTGACTGAAATTTCTACTCTAATACTCTGTTTGGTTTCTGGGAAAGACGCAAAATGTAAAAGCACGAAGTTGGTTTTCCGGAGAAAATGAAAAACTCGAATCAACTGAGCCAAACAGTCCTCTTATTTCCAAATAATGAACGAAGTGAACTCCAGTATTCTAATTTTCTGGATTTCTCTGCAATGGAATGGAATTTTTGCCTTTATTTAGTTTATTTTAAGCGGTATAAAATATGCAAAAACGAGTTTTCTACTTTATAGTTTGGGGTTGATCATTTCATGATTTGGGTATTTTTCCCGTGAAAGTGATGTATTTATACGGCCTACTGTTGTTGAAATTCCACAATTTTGCACAAATTGCATCATTTTCCTGGAGTTTTTAATAGGAGCAGTGAGGTAGTTGGATTTTGATAGAGACAGCAATGCTGATGAAAATAATTTTAGGAGTTGATCAGTTCATTATTAAATATAATTTTATCAAGAAATTGATTGAGATTGGTAAGCTTAGCTGAAAACTGATCCATTTATTTATTTAAACTGAGCATTTCTCTCCAAATGATGGTGCAAATCACTTAGCCAGAGAAAAGAAAAAGGATTTTTAAATTTCTTCCAAACTTAGGAGGGAAGGTTTTTAGTTGCCTTACTCTTGGAGTCTTGGTCATCTGTAAATCAATACTCCGTGTGAAGTTTGGAGGCCTGCATGGAGCCAGTAATCAACTAATGCACTACCTGATTGAATGGTCTTCCCATTATATTATATGGACCTTAGTCAATCCAAAAACTTGTTAGTGAAGCCAAACGTGGTTATGCAACCAATTTCTGTTTCTTATTTCAGATGTTAATCATGTTATATAAGCTGTCGTTTCTGTTATTACTCTTTCAATATATTTGCTTGGCTTTTTACATTGATGTGTATATTCTGGAATGTTCTAATACTCTTTTTATGATTTTGTAATGAATATTGTATATTTTACCGGCATTACTATTTGATGACTTCCATCGTCAAGTCACCATGCTTTTCAATTAGGAATGTTTCTATTCAGGCAAGAAGATTTCTTGGTCATTTGTCCGCCTGTCGTATAATTCGTACCAAATTCAAATTTTTTTGTTTCTTCTGCTACAGCTCTTTTTTATTGCTACTTAGAGTCGTGAATGAATTGTTGAAGATGGTTGACCGTTTAAGCTACAAAAGAAGTAGTTTTATGAATAATTCACTACCTCTACTATTTCAGATTGTTAATGCTCTTTCTTAACAGCTTCAGAAGTTGTACAGCCAACAATTGAGGAGCAGCATGATGCAAAGGCAGAGGCTACGGAAGACAACTTGACTACATCTGTGTTTGTGGACTCAGAACCAATACGCAAAGAACAAGTGCAAAATGCTGTAATGTTTCTTTCACACCCAAAAGTAAGGGGATCACCGATCATCTATAGACGATCTTTCCATGAGAGAAAAGGCCTCACTAAGGAGGAGATTGATGAAGCTGTCCGTATTGTTCCTGTAAGCAAGTCTTTCTTTTGGTTTTTCGCATTCGTTTATAAACCCACACCATCGAATCATCATAGACGTGTTCAGAATTTTCTAGTGTGCATATGTGCGTGTTTGTGGGATTGACATTTAATGTTTCTTACAGGATCCAACCCTGGCTGTTTCAAATGTGCAGCCAGCTGCACAAAATCAAGGTAATAAATATTATGTTAGATGGGATTTTCTGTTGGTGTAAATGGTTCAATGGCTTTTGGATTTGGCCAAAGTTTGGTTGTTCCTCGCATTGATAATATTTACATCAGTTTAAGCTGTTAGAGTAACTGGTTATTGACAATTCCTATCTGCCGTCATATTGACAATAGATGGGCAGTTGAAGTCATCATCAAATAGGGTTTTCTTTCTTTGAGATTTTAGTCATATTAACATTCTTTTCTTTGAGGAAACGGCTTTGGAGGAAGAAACTCAAGAGAGCCGCTTCGCGATGCCAGAAAATTATTGAGCCATTGTTACCTTCTGCAAGTGATGATATCAATTGTGATGGTGAAAATAATCATGTCAAAAATGAACCACCAGATGTTCGATGAAATGCCACTGAGGAATCTGAGACTGTGAGCGACAGTGGAGGTAAGGCTTTTGACAATGTCATACCATTGAACATGTCTTCTGTTTTTATAAGTTGAAAAACAATCAGGCAAAGCATTTGAGTGTTTGAAATGCGAAAGAGTGGACATCGGAATTTGTTAGAGCTGTTTGATTAAACTCATATCTAAGTAAGCAGCTCATTGGCAGTTGCAGGGCAACAAAAATTCTTTTCTTTTAGGGTTTTCTTTCTTTGAGATTTTAGTCATATTAACATTCTTTTCTTTTATTGTTTTTAGATTCTGCTCCCAAAATGAACGCTTTTGGATGTGTTCCCATCGTACATTTCGATCTGGTCTATTTCTTTCCATTAGCAAAACTTGAAGAACAGGTATGGAAAAAAAAAAAACTGGACATGATGAATATATGTGTGAGAGAGAAATAACTATAATATTTGGTGTATTTGGATTGTTCACTCAACTTTTTTGTTATTTTAGATTATTTGGTACTGTTGCATGTCTTCCTTTGTTGGTGATTGGGATTTAGAGTCCAAGTTTTTGTTGAATTGTTCATATTGTTGCATGTTGGGGATTTTTTGTGTTTTGTGTGCGACTGTGTTGTTGGTTGCTTAATTATTCTCTGGCTAAAATTGCTATTGAATCCCCTTATAAATAAATTAGAAAACAAAAAATATAACAATTTTGCTGTGTTTGGTTAGGTTGCTAAAAAGTTGTTATGGACAGATTTGAAATCTAGAATTTGTGGTGTCTCCCCTAATCCTAGTGAGTTCCAAGTGTTCAAGATGAGAGTTCATGTTTTGATTTTCAATAAATAAAAAGCAGTTTGATGAGATCATGATGCAATATAATATAAGTATTATTTTAATTGAATGTTTTTTTTTTTTTTAATAAGTTTAGAGTTTGTAATTTCTTTTTTATGATAAGGAAGATGTTAGCAACTCTCATCCTGTTGAGTTTAAATTGTGGATTCCAAGATATATTGCTTTTTTATTTGTGGAATCTTCTTATTTAGAATGAATAAAAATTGGAAGGGTTTCAAAATATTGTGTTCTGAAATCCCATAAAAATAGTCAGATTTCATGAAATTGAAAATTTACTTTTAAGTTTCGTCTACTCTATTTTACTAACTTAAATTCCTACTGATTCTGAATACACAAATGAATTTTATTTCAAATTTTATCCAGTTTCATTTATTAGTGGTATCTCACTAGTTGTCAAATACTTTACAAATTAGAACCCCTAATTTCATTGACATATAGTCAAAAGGAATTTTCTGGACAAAGATTGGTATTAGTTTCCTACTCCTCAGATTCTTATTGGTCCTACACAGTTTTCATGTCTTGTTTGCTTCAAGACCTTCAACAAATATAAAGCATGCAGGTAATTTAAGTTTCAGCACATGAACCGAAAAAATATCTAGAGCTTTTCTTTGCCATTTTTATCTCCTCTCTACTTTTACTTTTCTTTTGAGATAGCTTCTTAATTTGCTCTTCCAGATTTCAAGCTTGTATCAATCATATATCTCGACCTTTCATTGCTCTCTTGATCAAGCTTTATTTTTTAAGAGGAAAGTTATAATTGATGAATCAGATGGATATCTTAATATTATTATTATTTTACTTTTGGGATTTTAATTGTTATATATGTACCTTAATTTTTGTGTGGTTTCCGTTTCTATTTGATGGAGCTAGTATATATCTTGCATGGTATTCATACTTTTTTGATATTAAGTGCACACACAAACACACTCACAAGTCACAACTGCAGATCTTATTTAAATTTTAATTACACAATTGTGATGGATAAATAGTTGATAATGTATTGGTACTACAACATAACATGTGTCATTTTTCTTTGTCACTAATGTTTACTAATTTCACTAAGTCTCAGTGCTGTCCTAAGACTGAAACCTTCAGTTCTTCACAAAATCCTTTTTTAGCTGCTTTGATTCATTAGAATTTCTTCAAGGTCAACTCATTAACAAAGAATAAAAAAAGTTACTATGTTATATCACAGTAAATTGAATTCTATTTTCATTCCCAGAATTCTACTCTCCCACTAGCCACATAAACTCTTCCAATTTCAGAAGCTAAATCCCAGTTAAAAGGCTTTTCCGAATACCATGAGCCTTATTTTATAGAAGAAACCTTTTATTACATAAGCTTGTCCTGCTACAAAAGCTAATCTCCATGCTGGCTTTGACATCTTCATATAAAGATGTTGCTTCCATTGTCCGTTGAAGGAAAGCTCAGAAGAATATCTTGATCTATTGCTTATAAGAGCCTCTCCCAGGGGTCATTAGGCTATCAAAAGCTGGTTTGCTGTTGTGTTTCCTGTATGGGGAAATAATGGAGTTTGTTGATTCAGATTATTAGTTGTTCAAGTTGAAGTTGCACTTATTAAAGAGCTAGAAAAAAGAAAGTTTGAAGATGCAAGGGTCGTGCTTGTTGAATTTCCTTGGCCGATGTGAAAACTTCTCGTACATTTGGATGGGTTCACTTCTTTGGTGTGGTAGTGTTCACTACTTTTGTGAAAACTTCTTTTGGATGTATATACTTTTCTGAAAACTTCTTTGGCAGTTTTATTTATTATGGTTCTATTTACTTACTTTTGGTTGCCTAAATCTATTACACTTCATTCGGATGGTATTTGCCATACATGGTACTTGTTTTATTTATAAATAAACAGGTTAAATTTAGAGGAAAGAAGAAAAGCCCAAAAAAAAAAAAAATCTAGGTAATCACCAGTGTTCATTAAATGAGCGCTGGTGATGACTAAATACTAGCGTTCTCTAATAAGCGTTGGTAATGACTTATTACCAGCGCTCATTTATGAGCGCTAGTAATGATTTATTTCCAGCGCTCGTAAATGAGCGCTGATAATTACTTAATGCCGGTGCTCGTGTAATGAGCGCCGGTGAAAGCCATAACTGTTGTAGTGGTTGAGTACTAATGTCTCTCTTAATGCTTGCTTACAAGGCTTATTTTATAATATGTTTCTGAATGTCAAGTTTAAATTCTATAAAGTTATACACCTTCGTATGTCAAGTTTAAATGCAGGTTTTATATTCTAAATTTATTGTTTATCACACCCATAAATATTTCTCAGCAACTAATCATACTATGATTTTTCAAACAAAACATAGTCTCAATTGTCCAGAAAATACATTTTTTTCTTACACGTTAGTAAATGAATTTGCAGGGTTATGTGACAATGTACCTCAATGATTGTCAACGCACAGCTTTCTATGAAGGCATGGGCTCAACACGAAAGAACTAGGGGAACCTGTCTATGTTGTATAATTTTTGTTTCAACATTGTTACATTAGCATGAATTTTAGTTATAGATTACTTTTCACTATACATATACACTTTGAAGATATATAATATGGTTTATTTTACATGTAATCTTTCTTATTGGAAATTGTTAAGATGACAAGTGTGTAACTTGAACTTTAAAGCTGCCACTCTATCCACATATAGTTGTAAGATTCCAAATTTTGCTTATTCACCTCCAATTTCTTGAACTATCAATTCACCTTCAATTTCTTGAACTATCAACCAAATGCAGATTTAAAGAATATTATATTCACATATATTTTTTTTTCAGACTCTACCGCTAAAATTTTCTTGCTGAAAGAAAAGTGTGAGATGCAATGGTGCTCCAAAATATTGGCAGGGTGAAAAGAACAATATTTGTAGAGATGATTGATATAGCAAGTGAAGATATGGACTCCAAAATATATCAACTAAAGTTAGGCATGATCGACCATAACCCATTCCCTTTGCATGAACAATCATATTGAAGCTCTTAAAGGATTGATTTTGCATTGGAAGAGCTAATATGTTCCCAAATCAGTCGACGGGTTGGTTGAGATTAGTTTAATCTATGGTTTGTAATACCTCTGGTGAGAAGTGCAAATGGTATGGGATGGGTGTGAATGTTCTTGTGCTCTATTGTTGTAGATGTTGAGAAGTTTTTGTAAGTTATGTATATCTGTATCATTATCAGTAAGATTTAAGTTAAGGAAAAGCTGGGCTTATTTGGTTTTATTTTTAACGTTTGAACTTCCACTTTGCAATTCCTTTTTATCGAGTGTGCAAATGTTGGAAGAACTTTTGTTGGACCAACAACATAAATTCTTGGAGGAAGTTTAAACCTAATTATAAGATCATTATAACGGTGAATGTGAAAGTCTACTATACTCGGTACCCCGTTCCATCATGCTGAGACTTACGCGAGGTTCCATCATGGTGAGACTTACCTGATGGACGAATTAACGAGTGAGACTTCAGGTACTGTATCTCGGGGTTTATAGACTTTTTTTTACATTACTATTATCTAAATTCATCAAATAATTAATAAATTTAATTTGAGAGATTTGAGGTACCTCGGGCTTTATAGACTTTTTTTTATTACTATTATCTAAATTCATGCAATAATTAATAAACTTAAATTTAATATTTGATTCTACTAAACTTTACTTTTAATTTTACAGAAGCTACTATCGCATTTCGATTTTAGAGTTCAAGGGGTAAACAATGAGCAGAGCACATCTAAACTAGTTTATGAATAAACTTGGTGGATGCTAAAACCTTTGAATGATGGACATTGTGTAACAAGCATGGTTGATATGTTAAAAGAGTTATCCATTGCGTAAAAAAATAGAAATAGTTCAAATGGATTTTTTATTTTTTTTATCCGTACAAAATACAATAAGGCTCGTTGTTCACTTATATTTTCTCTCTTTTGTTTCTTTATCTTTACAACGTAATAATCAATTAGTAGCTAGACTGGGTGACTTTTTATGGCAATAGGAGCGTGTATTTGGACAGAAGTTATAATTGCATTTCGATTTTGGAGTTCAAGGGGTAAACAATGAGCAGAGCACATCTAAACTAGTTTTAAGAATAAACTTGATGGATGTTAAAACCTCTGAATGATGGATATTGTGAAACAAGCATGGTTGACATGTTAAAAGGTTATCTATTGCGTGAAAAAATAGCAATAGTTCAAATAGTTTTTTTTTTGGTCATACAAAATACAATAAGAACAAAAAAAAATAGTAATAATAATAATACCAACCAAATTATCATCCAGAAGCATAAAAAAGAATGAATATATGATGACAATAAGATATTCTATTAAATTTTCACATTAAGAAGTAACTTACTCGTAGTTATGCTCTTTCAACCAAGTTTTTAACTTACATCAACTTATTTTGGGACGTAACTTCTTCTAATAGTGATTTTATTATCATCGTTTGTTAGTAATATCAACAATATTTGAACTAATTCACTTCGTGTAGTTATGCTCTTTTAACAATTATTATTAACTTTATAATAATATCCTTTAATAAAATGTTATTATATAGATAATATAAACTTAATAAAAGAAGGGGTGATCTTAATTTGTAAAAAATTAAAATGGATTAAATTATCTATAAAAAATCGTTATCTAAAATATGGAACCTCTACTAAAATGCAATTTTAAAATATAATGAGCAACTATGAAGTAGTTAGTTATATGCTAAATTTAGTTAATGTTAAATACAAATTTAGTTAAAATGAAATAAATAACTAAAAGAGAACAAATTTTTTTTTTTTTGTTGTTGAAGGATTTTGTTTTACTCAAAAACTAGGGTGAAAATAACATTGGTAAGAGGGTGAGAAATTAGTTACAAATAGGATTGATGTTGATTTTAACATTAGTTGAAATGAGATAACAAACACGGTTGAAATATTTTTTCAGAGATTTTAGAAAGTCATAAAAATTTGATTTATATTTGAAGGATTCTGATTTATCAAAATGTTAGTGTGGGATTCTATCCTTTTGGAACTAGCAGCCAAAATTTGGTTCAGATAGCCAAATAATAGATTCACTTATGTTCATTGGGAACCGGTAAAAACTTCTTGGTACCGGTAGTCAAAGGCTGAAACGGTAGCCAAAGTACGTCGGAAAAGGTTATGTTCATCCTGAACCGGTAGCCAAATCCATGTACCAGTTCAAGAAGTCCTGATTAGTATAGAACTCCAGTTTCCTTATCCCTTTTGATTCTTTTTTGGATCAAACTTCCTTCTTAAGTCCTATACACAAAATTTTCTATATTTTTAGAGGGATTAGGACATTTTAAAATCTATATAAACCTTGTTAGCCATCTAGGTTTATTTACGGCTTTTGCATACAAAATTCAGATCTATTAGAGAGCTATCTCTGAGAGATATTTTTATTCAAAAAATTAATCTGATTTTATTTTTGAGAGCACACCCATAAACACAAGAGTGATTTAGAAGTGTTGCTCTCTATCTCATCGAAATTGAAGCATAATTAAAGATTCAGAGATTCCGAAAAGCAGATTCATTCATTCTTCATCAAATTTAGATCTTGAATAAAAGGGGTGAAAATATCACACTTTGAAGGGGTCAAAGCATTCGTGGAGTGTTGTTTGATCTACCTACAACTCTTCTATAGAGATCAAGAGTAAGTCTGAGGTCGAGAGCTGTTGGACGGGAAAGTCGCAAAGTCAGAGATTGTTAGTAATTGGTTTTTGGTAGAATGATAGGGTGTGAGCCTGAATTAAAGTTTGGTGTACTTTGCTTCAAACATAGTGGATAGTTTATCTCCGGACTGCACAATCCAACGAGATTTTTCCCGTAACAATTGGTCTATTTTACCAATTGGAGTTTCCTTGCTAAAAGTCCTGAAGTCATTTCTCAAACCTTATTTACTTTACTTGCATTTTTTTTTTCTTCTTTTTACTTTGTAGTTTGATTTTAGTTTTATTTTGATAAAATTAAAATAAGTAAAAATTGGATAAATGAGTAAGTTAAATCTATTCACCATCCTTCTAGGTTATTTATCCATATTATATTCCACAACCACTCCGCTACACACAAACTCTCAACACAAATTAGTTACTAATTCCGATTGATGTTAGATCCAACATTGGTTGAAAATATGTAGCAAACACAGTTGTAATATTTTGTGAAAATGCGGTCCTCTAAGAAAGAGAGAATTATATTTGAAGGGGTTTGATGTTAATAAAAAGTTAGTGTGGGAATAAGGTTACTAAAAGGGACAAAAATTAATTACCAATTCCAGTTGATGTTAGTTTCAACATTGGTTGACAATTTGGAAGATAGTTGAAATATTTTTTTATAGATTTTAGAAAGTCACAAAAAATTGATTTATATTCGAAGGATTCTGATTTACCAAAATGTTAGTGTGGGAATAAGGTTGCTAAAAGGGACACAAATTGGTTACTAGTTCTGATTGATGCTAGCTTTAACGTTGGTTGAAAATATGTAACGAACACGGTTGTAATATTTGGTGAAAATGCCGTCCTCTAAGAAAGAGAACCGGAATTAGTAAGTAATTTGTGTCCTTTTAGCAACCGTGTTCATTTGAACTGGAATTAATAACAAAAAGTCATAGAAAGAGTGAGAATTATATTTGAAGGATTTTGATTTAGTAACGAACATGGTTGTAATATTTGCTGAAAATGCGATCCTCTAAGAAAGAGAGAGCGATCCTCTAAGAAAGAGAGAATTATATTTGAAGGGGTCTGATGTTACTAAAAAGTTAGTGTGGGAATAAGGTTACTAAAAGGGACAAAAATTAATTACTAATTCCAGTTGATGTTAGCTTCAATATTGGTTGACAATTTGGAAGATGGTTGAAATATTTTTTCATAGATTTTAGAAAGTCACAAAAAATTGATTCGCAGAAACAATGCAACCAATTGTCAACCCATCATCATCTTTGCCTTTATCCCGTACAAACGGGGTAGATTCATGGTACACAGTGCTTCTAACTTTGAAGTATATCTTACCCCGCAGGTTGTCCAATTCAAAGGGTGAGTAACTTGATTGATGGCCAGTCTACCCAATGGAACATAAATTTGATTCAACAATGGTTCAATGAAATTGATGTTAATATAATTTTGAAGAAACCTCTAACAGAATTAGGAGGAGTGGATAAGAAGGTTTGGAGTAGATGGGTCCTTTCTGGGAAAGTTGGCTTATCAAATTGCTTTGAAGCTGTAATTATCAAGAAATGAGGGAGTTCTAGACTAAATTGTAAAACGTCAGAGAAAAAAATTAAGTGTTACATTTTATTCATGTGTGGTGCTAATATGCCAAATTCAGTAGACAAAAAACGAATTTTTTTTTTTAGCTTAATTGTTTGTGTTGGAATTTTTTTTTTGAGCTTAATTGTTTATTAAGTGTTACATTTTATTCATGTGTGGTGCTAATATGCCAAATTCAGCAGACAAAAAAGATTTTTTTGTTTTTTGAGCTTTGGAAACGGAGGAATATGCTGTTTTTTTTGAAGGCCTACACTAGTGCAGGGAAACAACACT